TATAGTATATTGACACGACTAAATATTATTAGACCATAGAAAGAAATGAAGTTCTGATTCACGCTTTAACTGGATAAACTTTGAAAACATTATACTAAGTGAAAGAACTCAGCCACAGAAGCCCACATACATGATTCTATTTATATAAAGTGTCCAGAAAAAGCAAATCCATAGAGATGAGAAGTGGACTAGTGGTTGCCAGGGGCTGGGTGGAGGGGTGGGGATGTTGGGGACAGTAGTAACTACAGGGTGGAGGGATTTCATGGGGGAGTGCTTGAAATGTTCTAAAATTTATTGTGGTGGTAGGTTGTACAATTCTTTGAATAGAACCATTGAATTGTCTACTTTAAATGAATCAATTGTACGATACATGCATTACAGATCAATAAAATGTCACCAAAAATGGCTGCAAATTATTTAAAAAGTCCTCCTGTGGAAAGGTGGCATGTGTGTCCCCTTTCATTGACATGAGTGGGCTTGTGACTGCTTTGCCCAATGGAGTATAATGGAAGTGACGTGTTACTTCTGGGACTATGTCTTTCAGTAGTAGCTTCTGCCTGGCTCTCTCTAGATGCTGGTTCTTGGGACGTTCTCCCTCCAAACCCAACTGCCATGCTGTGAGGAGCCCAAGTCACAGGGAGAGGCCACGAACAGCCCCTCCAGGGCTAGTCCCAGCAAAGCCCAGGCTTTAGCCATCCCAAGGCCAGGAGCCAGAAGTGGGAGTGAACAGCCCTCCCTGTGAGTCCAGTCCCCAGCCATTGGAGTGTCCCCAGCTGAGACCTCAGACATCACAGAGCAGAGGAAATGAGCCACTCCCTCAGTGCCTTGTCCAAATTCCTGACCCCAGAGTCTATTAGCTTAATAACAATGCTGTTACACACTACCAAGTTGGGATGGCTTGTTACACAGCAATGGATAACCAGAGAGCCGTCTTCCCACTCCTGGCTTTTTAGCTCTTCTCTCTGTCCCATCTTGACACCTTCCCAGGTTCTCTCAAAAGTCCCTCCTCCAGGTTCCTCGGAGGTGAAAATGGTGCTCAGAACTGGGGAGGGCAAGGGTCTTTCTTTTTCCCCCATCACCCTGTTCTTCTCTGAGTGTGTTTCCCTCATATTGTGCAAGGTTGGTCCGGAAAAAGTCCAACCATTGTTAATATAACAAGAACAGTTTGCGTGACATCGGTATAACCTGGGAAAGCCAAGGAGAGTGGACTGAAATGCATATGTGTGAACAATGGTGACTTCACTGTACTAGTCAGTGGCGGCAGTAGTTGCTGTTGAGTGAGCATGTGCGCTGTGTGGCCACCCCATTCAAAATGACTGAGTATGTAGAGCAATAGACACGCATTAAATTTTGCGTTAAGCTTGAACATTTCTCCACGGAACTATTCGGATGATTCAGAAGGCTTTCGGGGACAATGCAATGGGTGCAGAGCAAATAAAAGTGTGGCACAAATGCTTCAAAGATGGTCAAGGGTCTGCTGAAATTGACCCACATCCTGGAAGGCCTGCAACAAGCAGAACACCTGAGAATGTTGAACGTGTGTGGGCTGCCATCAACAATGATCAGCGACTGACAGTGCGGGAACTAGGAGCTGATCTGGCGATTCCGAAAACTGCTAGCTTTTCCCAAAACTAAAATCACCTTTGAAATTGAAGAGATTTCAGACCGTCGATGAGATTCAGGAAAATACAATGGAGCAGCTGATGGCAATTCCAACAAATGACTTTGCAGAGTGTTTTGAACAGTCAAAGAGATGCTGGGAGAACTGTGTGAGGTCCCAAGTTGCCTACTGTGAAGGGGACTGAAGCATCATTGTCCTGTGTACAATGTTTCTTGTACCTTCTTCAATAAATGCTTCTATTTTTTATAGTACACGGATGGATACTTTCTGGACAGACTCGTGTGTGGTTGACTAGCTTACCTGCAGGTTCAAATTCCCGTTTGAATCCGTGGAACACCTGCATTGACACCTGTTTACACTGCCAGCGTCCTCTCTGTCCTGGATGGTTGAAAGGGGAAAGGGCTCGGGTCTGCATAGATTTGCATTTCTTTTACATGCATTCACTGGGGCCTCAGTCACCCTCTGTCTCTGTCTCTTGCCCAGATCTCTCTGCTGAGCTTCTGACCTTGGGAACCGACTGCCTGCCAGGCTGCTCCCTGCCCCTCTGTGATGTCCTGCAGCGCGTCAAGCGCAGTGTGTCCATGAGCAAACCCATCACCTTCCCTTCAAGCCCATTCTTCCTCCTCCTCTGCAGAAGGAGAACCGTCCTCCCAGCAGCCCATGCCTGAAACCCAGGGCTCACCCTGTCTTCTCTATGCTCATTCCTGGACCTTCCTGTCCAGTACATGGGCTTTAAATAGCATCTGTACATTGACTACTGCAGAATTTTTTCAATTACAGTTGACATTCCAGTGTTATTTTATATTAGTTTCAGGTATAAGCATAGTGGTTAGACAATAGTTATATCATTTACAAAGTGACCCCCCAATAATTCCAGCACCCACCTGGCCCCACACGTAGTTATCACAGTATTACTAACTGTATTCCCCTTGCTGTACTTGCTGTGACTATTTTGTTACTACCAATTTTTACTTCTTAATCCCTTCACTTTTTTCACCCAGCCCCCCAACCCCCTGCCATCAGGTAACCCTCAGTTTGTTCTCTGCATCTATGAGACAACTCCCAAATCTGTCTCCATTCCAGACCTCTCCCGTGAGCTTCTTTCCAGTAAGTCCAACCATGAACTTGACATCTCCACATGGGCGTCTAAAATGTATCTCAGACTTAACGTATCCAGCACCAACTCCTGGTTTCCCTTCCATAAATGCCATTCTTGGTTAGTCTTTCCTTCCCCAGGAAATGTCAGCTCCATTCTCCCAGTTGTACAGGCCACACGTCTGGGACTTACCCTTGACCCCTTCTGATGCTGGTTCTATTCAAAGTACATTCAGAACCCAGCACTGCTCAGTGTGACTCCGCCACCCTGGAGACCACTGTCATCTCTCTCCTAGGTTGTTGAAAAGATGTCCTAGCTGGTCCTCAGCTTCCAGTTTTGCCTGTGTCTATCTGTCACAGGCCTCAGTGACCCTCTTGAAATGAAGCTCAAGCCCTGGCTGGTGTGGCTTAGTGGGTTGAGTGCTGGCTGCGAACCGAAAATTCACCAGTTCAATTCCCCGTCAGGGCACATGCCTGGGTGGTGGGCCAGATCCCCAGCTGGGGGCACGTGAGAGGAAGCCAATAGATGTTTCTCTCACGTATGGATGTGTCTCTCCCTCTCTTTCTCCCTCCCTTCCCCTCTCTCTAAAAAATAAAATTTACACAAATCTTTAAAATGAAGGTCTAGCCTGTCCCTCCTCTGCTTGAAACCCCTGCTGGCTTCCCATCTCACGCAGAGTAGGAGTCCGAGTACCGGCAACGGCTGGCATCATCGGGCACGGCCCCCTTGCCTCTCCAATTCTATCTCTCGCTGCTGTGTTCCTCTGCCCCTCTGGCCACCCTGGCTTCCTTGCTCATTCACAAACACCCAAGAGGTTTCTGTCACCAAGCCTTCGTGATTGCTCTTCCCTGCACCAGGAATGGTTTTCTTTAAGACACACGCAAGGCTTCTCCTCCCCTTTCCTTCCACCTCTGCTCAAAGGTTTCTGATGGAGAGCTCTCCTGACGCCGCCCTGCCCTGGACTGCTGGCACTCGCTGTGCCCCTACTGGGCTTTGCTTTTCTCCGTAACACTAACACCCGACTCATTGTGCATCAACTTGTTTGTTGCCTCCCACTTAAGTGGAAGCTCCATGAACTTAAGGATCCGTCTATCTGGTGCAACCCTAGCTCCCAGAACAGCTTCTAGAACACAGGGGGTGCCATAATAGCCATCTGTGGAATGAAGAAATGGATCCCAACAGATCCCTCCCTCCCGTCCAATCAGCCACAAGTCATTTCTATCTGTGCTCGTCCCTACTGCCACCCTCACACCCCTGAGTCAGCGCCCTGGCTCAGACCTCACCATCTCCCTCCTGGACTCTAGCAGTTGTCTGTTCCCAGTGTCCCTCCCTCTGCTCCCCGACTATTTAGGCTCTTGCCACAGACACTTAAAACATCAATTTTGATTATTTTCCCCAGTATAAAAGTAATCCATGTTGCTAATGAAAAAGGGAAAAACACATATCAATGATAAAAAAAAGGGTGTGAACTCCACCCATACTCCTATGGTTTAGAGGGAGATAAGCACTGTTTACATTTTGAAGTGTGTTCCTGCCAGCTTTTTCCCCTGTGCACAAGCTATTATGGTTTTTGCATATGGATGTGCTTCTACTGACTCTCCAGATGAATGCTCTATTTTGAAAGAAAAACCTATAATCATAGCAGCTAATGTTTAAATTTACTGTGTATCTTAAAACACGTCATTCAACTTCTCTGGGCCTTTGTTTCCTTACCTGTAGTATGGGAATGCTATTAATACCTACCTCATTAGTGGGCTGTAAGGGTTAAATCTGGAAAGTGAATGTGGTAAGTGCTCACTGTGTTAGATGTCACTATAATTGTTGCTGTTTCTGAGCGCTTACCTTGAACCAGGCACCATTCCCAACAGGTCACGTCCTCACCACCACCCTGTGAAGTAGGTGAGGTTGTAACTAAACACTATAACCCAAAGAGGCTTCAGTGGTTTCACAAAGGGAAGGGAAAGCAGAGCTAGCAGCGGCTCCCCTCCCTCCAGCTTGCAGGAGTCCGAGGCTCCCATCCTCTGGAGGATACATAATATCAAAGACGATAGCTGGTGTTCCCCAAACACTTAACATCCGTTGGGCTCAGTGCTGAGCGTGTGCATGCGCAGGCATTCCTCCCACGGTGCCAGTTTTCATAACCTGAACTGTGCATAGCTTGATGGATCAATTAGGGAACACAATTTGCATCCTGCGGCTTGCTGATTGGTTAGACACCACTGCAAGCTGGAAGCAGCCGGAAGCGGAGGCTGGGCTGCGGTGTGGCTGCTGCTGGCTGGGTCTTGCTTTGTTTATCCGAACAATGGTTGCTTCTCAAGTTGTGTTACTGATGGTGCTGGAGATGATAGAACTAGGCAGGCCAGTAGTCCAGAGGAAAATCTGGGTGTAATCAAAACCCGGGAATGCTCAGGGATGTTTAACATTCGTAGCTGTACACATATTGCTCTGACAAACACTTTTATTATTAAAACATCAGCAAGAAAAATGAGTTTGCAATTGCTGGACTGAAAATCTCTAAATCCAGCCTGTTTTCACATTTGTTTTGATGATTAATTTCAAAACAACAGCACACAATAATAACCTTTGTTAACCTTCATTGGGCTTACTGTGTGTAAGAGCTTTATACACACAATCTATTTTAATCTTTACAACAACTCTATTTGTTATTGGCTCCATTTTACGGATGTGGAAACTGAGGCACAGAGAGATGAGGCGGTGGCTCAGTGTTACACCGCTAGGAGGCAGAGCTGGGTTTCAAACGCGCACCGTCTGGCTCAAGCCAGAAGCCTTGAAAGCGCTGTGCTGTGCTGCAGGGCGGCTGGTACTGTGCCGTGTCCTGGTTCTTGCGTGACAGTCAATGGGCCACCTGATCTCATTTAGTTTTCCTGCTAATCCCAGAGACAGTTACCATTATTTTTGCTGTTTCCCAATGTAGACAGAAATGTCCAGCGAATTGCTTTTGAAAAGTCACATAGGCAGTAAACGACTGAGTCTGGGCTCAAAATGCCAAATGCCAGATTGAAAGTCCTTGACCTCCCTGCCTGGGTCAAGTCCCCGTGCTATTTCCTCTTATAGCATCAGGTGCCCACCAGTCCACAACTGACCACGGTTGCCATTTGACACGTACCTTTGTGGTTATTGATCTTCTCCCCAGCTAGGAGGTAAGCTCTGTGAGGACAGGGTCCATGTAGGATTTTGTTCATTGTTTGTCTCCACCAAAAGTGCCCGATTAGTATCTGTGGATTGAATGAGTGAAGGATGGATTCTGTCAGAGAAGCCAAGCTAGACCCAGGAGGCCCAGGGGACACACTCCAGCTCCCTCAGCCCCATTGAGGTGATTCTTAAGGCTCTGGGCTTTGGGCTCAGCCATCCTTGACCTCCAGGGTCATAGAATGATTTCAGCCCCTGAGCCCATCAGCAGGTAGGGGGAATAGAATTGCCTTTACTGTCTGAGCTTGAATTCAGGTCCTTGGAGCCACAGATAATGCTAATGGCCTAGACAAATCCATTCCCCCTTCTTCCTTGCTGGGAAGACTTGTTTTATTTGGGCCCCGCCCCTTTGAGCCCAGCAATCAGGCGGCAAACCCATCCTTGGCCCTGGGACATGAATCGTGGTTGGCCTAAGCAAGTCACGGTAATTATATCCCCTTTGCCAATATTGGTTTAGTGAAAGGTTTTTTTGTTTGTTTTGTTTTTAGGTTTTATTTATTTTTTTAGAGAGGGAGGGAGGGAGAACAAGAGGGAGAAAAACATCAATGCACAAGAGAAACATCCATTGGCTGCCTCTCGCATGTTCCCCAACTGGGGACCTGGCCCGAAACCAAGGCATGTGCCCTGACCGGGAATCAAACCGGTGACCCCTCAGTTCACAGGCTGGTGCTCAACCCACTGAGGCACACCAGCCAGGGCTTAGTGAAAGCTTTGTGATCCAATCCTGGTCAATGGGACCTGAGGGGAAATCTGATGAGGAGGCTTCGGATAAAGGTGTTCTTCCTTTCAAGATACATAAGAGGAAATGCCTTCTCCACCAAACATTGTTGAGTCCGTTGATGACGGCAGGTCCTGCTGCATCCATCTCGTGACCAGGAGGCGAGCCATTGCCAACATGGGAAGGAGGCTGAGGCCTCTTTGAAGACACCATTGAGCCCCTGAATTTCCAAATTCTAGAACATTTCACCTTTTTTTGTAAGAAAATGAACTCCTTATGGCTTAAGCCATATTTAGTTGGAGTTTCTGTACCCTGTTCCTCTAAGCCTCCTGCATGGTACACAGGGAGCCTCTGGCTCCTGTAGCGCTTGCCTAGCTGTTCCTCTGCCTCTCTGCACTGTGGTTTCTCATTTTTTTGAAAGGGTGCTGGAAACTAACATTTGTGAGTTTCCTACTACAAGTGTATTGTCTCATTTCTTCCACTAAATAATGACAGGCCTGCAAAGTAGGTTCTTTTGCTCCTAATTTACTGATAAGGACCCTGAAGTGCAGTCAGGTCAAGTACAGAGACTTGTCCAGGGCCCCACATCCAGGCTCCCCAATGTCCACAGGGTAACACCCAAACTTCTAACCTTGGCATTCAGTGCCCTTCGGGACCCTTGGTTCCTTCCACCTTCTTCAGCCTCAAGTCTCCCTCCTCAACACTCCGCACCTCACTCCAAGCTCTAGCCAGACAAAAACTTCCTTTAGTTCCCCTGCTCTGCCCTTTGTACGTGTTGCTCCCTCTGCCTGGGGCAGTCCACTTCCTTTCTGCCCGACTCTTTGAGCTCTGAAGCTTTTCCTGACCACTCAAGCTGGCCTTGGCCTGCCCTTTCTCTGCACCCCCACAATGTCCCGGACCTCCCTCACCCATCACCTCTCGCACTTTGTTATGGGGTCCTTGCCCATGAGGTTCTGAAGGTTTACCAGGGCAGTGGGGTGCAGTGATCAGGAGCATAGTCTCTGGCACCAGAGTCTGACTGCTGGCTCCATCACTTCCCAGCACTGGGACTACAGTGCACCCTTTCCTCTCTCTGTGCCTTGATTTCACCCCCGTGACCTGGGGTATTTAATAGTTTCTACCTTGCACCATTGCTGTGAGGGTTAAATGAGCTCATTCAAAAAAAGTTCTTAGAACGGTGCTTGGCACATAGCAAATACTCAATTAATCTTGTCTGTTTTTATTATCTCTGTATCCAAAGCCCTTGACATCTACCAGGCATTCAGTGAGTGTTTGTTGGATGAATTAATGGTGCAGTTGTGATGGTTAATTTTATGTTAACTTGACTGGGCCGCCAGATGCCCAGATAACTCGCTGAATGTTATTTCTGGGTGTGTCTGTGAGGTCCTACCAGGAAGAGATGAGGAGAGTAGGATTTTAATCGTTGGACTCAGTAAAGCACACTGAGCTCTCCAGTGTGAGGATCACCCCGTCCTCGGAGGACTCGGACAGAGCAAACAGGTGGACTCGGGGTGAATTCGCGCTGTGCCCGAATGCTAGGGCTGGAACTTCCGTCTGCAGCACTCAGACTGGGACAGACACCGTTGGCTCTCCTGGATCTTGGACCTCTGGGCTTGGACTAGAATGACATCATCAGTTTTCCTGGGTCTCTGGCAGATTGTGGAACACATCAGCCCCCAATCCCATAAAGAGTCCGCCCGTTATCTTATCTTTAATCTTATCTTGTCGTGTCTTATCTTATCTGGCTGCTACCGTTGGTGTTGGTTCCGCTACTTGGGAAGACCCTGGGGGAGAACCCTGACTAATCCAGCGGTGGGACTCAGGTTCCCCACAACACACCCCCTCGGGTACTGAGGTGGCCTGAGGTTCAACACTGTGAAGGCTCTTGAATCAGACACACTTGGGCTCAAATCCTAGCTGTGTGACCTCGCACAAGTTGCTTCCCCTCCTGTGTCGCCATTTCCGCATCTGTACACTGAGGAAACCAGTCCCTACCAGGAAAGATTGTTGTGTCTACAAAAGATTCGCCTGGCGCAGAGCCCAGCGTATAGCAGGGGCTCAAATACCTTAAGTTTCCTTATCCCCACCCCGTGTCAGGATTTTTGCCAAGGGCCACATCTGAAGAAAGGATGTTAGAAAATTGGCTTCAGTCCACTTAAAATCTCAAAGGATAAAGTCGTCTTTGTGATTTAAAGGCCCTCTCCCTACCCTGTGCTGTCCAGGTCCCCCTCCACCCTACGCCCCCACACACACACACTCCAGGGCCTTTGAACTTACTGGGCTTTGGCAGGAAAGAGATCCCCCGCAGCAGAGAAATCGGAAAGAGCAGACCCTCCCTGCTCACTTCCTACTGAGTGAAGGGACACAGGAGGAGCATTGAGGAGTGGAGGGGGCCCTGGGCCAGCACCGCTGCCTGGATACTGGTCCCGACTTGCCCACCGGCTCCCTGTCTGACCTTGACCAGGCCCTGTGCCTCTCAGGGCTCCATTGGCCCCACTGTCCAATGGGGTTGGGCTCTGTGACGTCTGAGGTCCTTCTGGAACAGGCATTCTGGGATGCAGGAAGTAGGACCCCTGGGCTGCCAGGAAGATCAAAGGGTAGCTTCCCAGAGGAGGCCTTGCAGCTGCCTGCCCTCTGGAGCAGCTCTGGGCTTCCTGCTCTGCACGGAGCCTCCTGAGCAGCTCTGGGAACAGTGGAGCCTCAGCCAAGGTCAGGGGCTGGGCCTCCTCGTACCACCCCCCTCCCTGCCCCAGTCCTGAGTCATAGGTTTGAGATACTTGACTCCATTTTCCTCTGTTAGCCACCTGGAATGGAGGCCACCTGGGATGAAAGAGCACCATGCTGTGTATTCTTCAAGTTTAATTCACAGGAAATGACTATGCCTTAGGACACTGGGAAACTTCCCACTTGGCCCTTCCAAGGACCTCCCAGGATTCTGCAGGGTTAATTGACCCTGTCTGCACTCATCATACAGCCTTTGCAGCTGGCGACACCTGCTCTGCGGGACCTCCCATCCCCTGGTTCTTTCTGGTTGGTCCCTCCTTGCTCTACTCAGTGCCCTCTCTATACCTTTACAGGTGCTGTCTCTGCCCTCCCCTCCCCCATCCCTGGACTCACAGCCAGACCCAAGATTGGTACTTCCCTGTGTCATCTCTCTTCTTCCTGGTCATCTCTCTTCCTTCTGGCAAAACCTCTGAGGGAGACATTACTGCCATCTTCATTTTCCTTCACACAGGCTCAGAAAGGTGAAACGCCTCGTTGAAGGTGTCTGGGCAGCTCCAGGCTGCGCCCAGTCCAAGACCCAGCCTCCTTCCTTTCTTCACATCCCTCGCTCTGTCCGCGCTCTCTGCCCTCTGCCCCTGCTTCCCTTGACTAGGACTCTTGGGCTCGCACAGCACAGAAATCCAACTTGAAGACACTTAAGCCCACAAGGAAGTGAACGATTTATTAGAGAGATATTAGGGTAGATTTTAGAGTGGGACTCAGCAGCCAAATCACAGAGGTACAAGTGCAGTCTTCCCAAATGTGCAGCCTGCAGGAAGCAAGGTCACCTGCCGGGGCCTCAGTGTCCTTGCCGGTAGGATGGAGCTTCGAATAATAACACCTCCTTCACTGGGCCATTGGGAAGGGTCAGTGAATCAGGACAGTGACTGCGGTAAAAAAGGTATTTTATATCGCGACCAGTACACACATAACCTAAAACAAGTCCGTAAATGAAAACTGGCTGTTATTGTGTGTGATATACTCTGATGCTTTCTGTTGTAGTTTAGTCTAGTTTATTTTGTGCATTAAAATATATGGTTGCGGCCCTGGCTGGTATGACTCAGTTGCATTGTCTCATAAACTGAAAGGTCACAGGTTGGATTTTCAGTCAAGGTACATGAATGTGTTGCAGGTTCAGTCCCTGGTCAGGGCATGTACAAGAGGCAACTGATCAATGTTTCTCTCTCACACTGATGTTTTTCTCCCCCTTTCTCTCCTTTCTTCCCATTTCTCTAAAATCAATAAGCATGTCCTTAGGTGAGGATAAATACACACACACACACACACACACACAAGGTCTGTTCGGAAAAACTCCAGCCATTGTTAATATAACAAGAATTGTTTGCACAACATCCACATAACCTGGCAGTCAAGGGGAGTGGACTGGAATGCGCATGCGTGAACAATGACGCTTTCACTGTACCAGTCAATGGGGGCGGTAAATGCTGTTGAGTGAGCATGTATACCATGTGGCTGGCACATTCAAAATGATGAGCAAGCAGAGCAACGAATCTGCATCAAATTTTGCATTAAGCTTGAACATTTATCCATGGAAATTATTCTATGATTCAGAAGGCCACAGCTATGGGCAACTGGTGATTAGAAGCTTCATCACGACCATAGGTCCACTCACACATCACATATCATGCAGAGGTTTTTTGGCAAAACATCAAGTCACCCAGATGACTCAGCCTCTCTACAGCCCAGATTTAGCACCTTACGACTTCTGGCTTTTCCCAAAACTAAAATTACCTTTGAAAGGGAAGAGATTTCAGACCATCAGTGAGATTCAGGAAAATATGACACGGCAGCTGGTGGCCATTGGGAGAACTGTGTGAGGTCCCTCCCTACTTTGAAGGAGACTGGGGTGTCATTGTCCTATGTACAGTGTTTCTTGTATCTTGTATCTTCTTCAATAAAGGTCTCTATTTTTCATACTGCACGGCTGGATACTTTCTGGACAGACCGTGTGTGTGTGTGTGTGTGTGTGTGTGTGTGTGTAATTTGTAAGATGACTTTGTGATCCACTCCCCTGCCATAGTTTGAGGTTTGAGTTAAAAATTGTTAATGTCTGCCCTGGCTGGTGTGGCAGTGGATTGAGTGCCGACCTGAGAAGCAAGGGGTTGCTGGTTCGATTCCCAGCCAGGGCACATGCCTGGGTTGCAGGCCAGGTCCCCAGTGGGGGCCACGTAAGAGGGAACCACACAATGATGCTTCTCTCCCTCTCTCCTTCCCTTCCCCTCTAAAAATGAGTAAATAAAATCTTTAAAAAATAAAAATAAAAATTGTTGATGTCTATTAAGAGCTTAGCAAAGCATCTGACATATAATAAAACCTCAGTGACTGTTAGTGACCATCTGTGTTGTTGTGATTAACCGCAGACCACAGACTGACCAAGACCAGAGAAAAACGAGTGTGGCCGCGACAGGCACAGTGGTGCAGTCAGGGTTCTCTTGCCGGCCTCCGCCTTCCACCCAGGCTTCTTTCTGTGGGCCAGCGTCTCTTCCTTACACTGGGCTTTGCCGCTCAGTAGAAGCCATAGCAGCCTGCTGCTCCCAGGTGACATCGGTATGTATGGCTTTACAGCCCAAAAGGAAAAGAGCACTTTCCTCTCTCCCCTCCGGCTTCCTGAATCATCACAGCTAACGTTTATGGAGTGCTTGTGAGGACCAGACACTGTTCTACGTCTTTACAGTTTTCTCTAACACAGTTCTCGTGATCCCCTGGAGTCTACGACAGAGACTGGCTGGATGCTCATCAGACCCATTGCCTTTTCCTGGACCCACAGCGAACTACATTTCCTAGACCCTACGCATCTGGGTGCGGCCATGTGACTGGTTCTTGCCAATGGAATGTAAGTAGAAGCGACCGATGGTCCAAGGCAGTTAAGGGTGAAGACTCCTCTCTCTTTCTTTGACCCACCAGTTGGCAGCGGACAGGGCGACCTTGAAGCCATGTGTTAGACACGGTAGATTGAGTGTGGATCTCTGAATGAGTCCGCAGAGCAGAGCTGACACCAGCTATGCCGCCCACCTCTGCTGGTCAGGAGTGGAGTATGACGGCATAAGAAGTAACTTTGTTGTGCTGAACCACTGAGGTTTTAGGGCTATTATAGCAGCTAGCATGGCCCGGCATTGTTAGTACAAAATTACCTTTTATCCATACTTTATAGATAAGGAAGCTGAGGCACCAAGATGTTAAATATCATAGATTTTGTTCTGAAACTGGCAGGTGATGAAGCCAGGATTTTAATGGGGGAAGCCACATAATAAGCCCACATTTTACCTACTATTCTATGCTGGAGGTCAGGGTCAGCAGACTCCAGCCTACTATGGGCCGAATCCAGCCAGGACTACTCCTTTATGTACTGTCTTTGGCTGCTTCCACCTGCAAGGGCAGGGTTTAGTACAGAAGTGATAGTTGTGAGAGAGATCGTATCTCTCTTCCTCCCAAGGCTAAAATATGTACTGTCTAGTCTTTTATTTGTTTGTTTATATTCTCACCTGAGGATATGTTTATTGGTTTATGGATTTTAAAGAGAGAAGAAGGGAAGGAGGGGGAGGAGAGAGAGACAAAGAGAAACATTCATTTTTTCCCCCACCTTTTGATGCATTCATTGGTTGATTCTGGTATGTGCCCTGTTGGGGGATTGAACCCAAAACCTTGGTGCACTGGGATGATGCTCTAACCAGCTGAGCTACTTGACCAGGGCTGAGTTTTAATTTTATCTTTAATTATTTATTAAATATATATTCAATTATATATACGTGTATATATACACCCATACACATGTGCTTCAAATGAGCATATTTTAATTATGCTTATCTTTTAATAAATGATGGATTCAAGGTGAATATTTATTTGGAAAATTTCCAGTATTCCAGTTGGCCCTGGCATATGTGGACTCTAAAAACTGTTTTTTTTTTTCCAGAATAAGTTAATTTCAGTTCTTAACTGTTCAAGCTAATTTGGGTGCAATGCGTGCTTGTGTTTAAATAGTGGACTCAAAATAAGCAATAATAGCAGAGTGGTGGCAAAGAAAATTGAACTCGAGTGAGTTTAATTCTGACATTCTGTGTGACCACCTGGAGTTGCTCCCCCGTGTGTGACATTTTTTGGAACTTTAGAAAAATGTAGTCATTCCTTTCAGGGTCGCTTTGTCGATGGAAAATGCTGCAGAATGGAGCGCAGTGGAGAGTCTCCCCCAGACAAGACCGCCACCCCACCCGAAGTGGGGCATGACATCGGGACAATGTTTGAAAAATTAACCCCAACCTTTGAAGAGCTGTGTGATCCAAAGGGGGATCCGGGCAGATTCTGCTCTCCGCAGCATGTGGCAATTTTCCCGAGTTATCTTTTAGCATGTGTGAAGTTCCAGGTGAGGTCAATCAGACACAAAGGTATCTGAACCAGCCGGAATCAGCCTCAATGCCGGAACAGTAAAACATCAAGCGTTCAAATTGCTCCTTGCAGGTTGGTGAAGAGAATTGTGGAGAAGAGCGTTGACTCTGCAACAGCACGGGTCAGGGAGTGGGAGAAATGAGCACGTTTGGAAGGAGGGAGGCAGGAGAAACCCCAGAAGAGGCTGGCCTTCCTCCGTGGGAAGAAATCACAGGGAAACATTGGAAGGCTACGGCCCATTTCACCCACAACTGGGTGTTCCTGAAA